TCGTTCCAATAATGGTCGTGAGTATTTCTCTTCATCATTTCAAGAATACTTGGACCAACATGGCATTATACATCAGACTTCATGTACCTACACCCCACAACAAAATGGGGTGGTTGAGAGAAAAAATCATCATCTTTTGGAAACAGCTCGATCCCTCGTGCATCACATGAATGTTCCCAAACCCTTTTGGAGTGATGCGGTGCTTACTTCTTGCTTCTTGATTAATCGGATGCCCACGTCTATCCTTGATTGTCATTCCCCATTCACTACCTTGTTTCCCACCTTGTCTCTGTTTCATCTTTCTCCTCAGGTTTTTGGGTGTGTCTGCTTCGTCCATAATCTGGGCCCCGGGAAGGATAAGTTAGATGCACGATCCATTAAGTGCATCTTCCTTGGCTATTCCCGGACCCAGAAAGGGTATAAGTGTTATCATCCTAGTTCTCGACGTTCCTTTATGTGTGCTGATGTTACCTTCTTTGAGTCTACTCCATTTTTCTTGGGGTCCGGTGATGCTTCTTCCTCCTCATCACCTCCTCCTCTTCCACTTCCAGTTGCGGATTCTGTTCCCCTTGTTCTAGCTGTGACCAAGTCCTTGCCTCCAGTGCCACCACTTGTTGAACGGCCACCTATCCGTCAAGTGTATACACATCGCCCACATGTACCGGCTGCTACTCCTCCAACTCCATCAACGTCGACAGATCCGGTAGTTGTCTCTACACCAGCCCCAAACCCAGTATCTGATCTTGATCTTCCCATTGCCTTGCAGAAAGGTAAACGCACTTGTACCCTTCATCCTATTTCTAATTATGTTTCACTCACTCACCTTTCCGCTTCCCATCGCTAGTTTATCTCTTTGTTATCCTCAATTGTTGTCCCTAAGGATGTCCAGGAAGCCCTTGCCTCTACAGGGTGGTGTCGTGCAATGGAAGAAGAACTCTCAACTCTAACTCATAATCATACTTGGGACCTCACCACTCTTCCTCCCGGGAAGCAGGCTACCGGTTGTAAGTGGTTTATACTGTTAAGTATTTACTTGATGGTAGTGTAGAGCGCCTGAAAGCTAGATTGGTGGTACTCCCAAACCTATGGTATTGACTACACAGAGACATTCTCCCCAGTTTCTAAGATAGGCTCGGTTCGTGTTGTGATCTCTGTTGCTGCTATGTATGATTGGCCCCTCTATCAGCTTGATATCAAGAATGCTTTCTTGCATGGTGATTTGCTCGAAGAGGTCTATATGGAGCAACCGCCGAGGTTTGTTGCTCAAGGGGAGGATGGTAAGGTATGCAGATTAAAGAAGGCTATTTATGGGCTTAAACAGTCTCCTCGAGCATGGTTTGGTAGGTTTAGTGAGGTGGTAAAAAAGTTTTGTATGAAACAATGCCTAGTTGATCATTTTGTCTTCAGTCATAACTCTCAGGCAGGAAAAATCCTATTGGTGGTATATGTAGATGATATTGTTATTACCGGGAATGATAAAATGGGCATTGACAGGTTGAAGACTTTTCTATAGGAACATTTTCAAACAAGGGACCTTGGTAAATTGAAATGTTTCTTGGGGATAGAAATAGCAAGGTCTAAGCATGGTATTAATTTGTGTCAGAGGAAATATGTGCTTGATTTGCTGGAGGAAACAGGTTTGTTAGGTGCTAAACCAGCTGAAACACCTATGAAAACAAATACTAAGCTGAGCAGTGATATGGGTGAAGTGTTTGAAGACCCTGGCAGATACCGGCGACTTGTAGGTAAACTGAACTACCTAACCATTACTCGGCCAAACATTTCATTTGTGGTTAGTGTGGTAAGTCAGTTCATGCAGAAACCTCTGGTTCATCATTGGGATGCGGTTCTAAGAATTGTGAGGTATTTAAAAGGGGCTCCTAGTCGTGGTTTGATATACAAAAGTGGTGGAAAACTTGAAATAGAAGGATATACTGATGCTGACAGGGTCGGTTCTATGTTTGATAGGAGGTCTACCACAGGCTATTGCACTTTTCTTGGGGGTAATCTGGTGACATGGAAAAGTAAGAAGCAGACAGTCGTGGCGAGAAGCAGTGCAGAGGCAGAATATAGAGCTATCGCACATACTACTTGTGAATTAGTGTGGCTAAGGAACCTTCTACAGGAGATAGGATACAATGTTAACACTCCAATG